CTGGGTGCATGCATTGGCCAGGGCCTGGGGCAGTGAAGGCCACCAGCCACTGGAGGATGAGTTCTGGGTAGAGCCCCAGGCTAGCCAGGGGCAGGAGATAGAGGTTACCTCTTGGACCCATGACACTTGCTGTTAGCAGAAGGAAACTGAGCAGCGTGTAGGGACAGATGAGGCGCAATCAGGACACACTAGGAAAGTTTCAGGAAATGTAACAGGAAGTCACCCCAGAGCCTAGGCCATGAGAACCAGCCAGGAACCTGTGCAGGCCAGATCCTGTGGGCAGGGGCAAGGTGAGAATGGAGGAGGCCCGCTATGCCAGGAGGGCCATGTGGACAGAAGCGCAGGTGGCCCCATCATTTTCCAGCCTGAGCAGAGGGCCCCGATGGAACTTCTGGCTAGTAGGCTGGACTTCCCTAAGGGACAGTGACATGTAGAGCTGCATCTTGTGGCCTGTCACCCTGCCTTTGGAGCCACTGAGCATGTTGTCCTATTGCAATGGTCACTTCTGTCTAAAGTGACACCGTTCTGACTCAAATACTGTGTGTGCTCCCTAGCATCAGCCACAGATGTGTGATTCAGGTTCCTGTGTGTCCCAGCTGTCTTTGCCAGGCAAGGAAGCTGTGGCCTCACTTCCTGTCATACAGGAGCCCAGAGCCAGCACCGAGAGCAGGCCTCAGGCCACGGGGATAAGCCGAAGTGGCCAGGCTGCTCAGACTACCATCCTTAGGCTGCCACAGTTTGGTTCCCACGTAATCCTGGGCCACCATGCAGGGGTGTGCAGGTCTGCCCCTGTCCCTGGGGGCCTGTGGTGGGTAGGCGGTGGCGCCTGGTTTGGGGTCCCATGAGAAGCACTTCAGAGCCTTTTCTTGTCCCTGACGCATCCACTCTCTGCTGCTCTCATAAGCCATGGAGCCATGGGGGACAGGAGGAAGGGAATCTGCCCAGCATGGTGGAGCCACTAAGGCCAGAATGTCCAGGACCCATCAGGGTGCCCAGTGTGCCAAGGGAAGTTGCATCATGCCAGAACTTTTCCTTCCTGTGATGACAAAGTGGATAGGGCCTCATATCTGTCAGCTCCCAAATATTTACAGGAATCCATAATGGATAAAGGGCATAGCATATGATCCCCCCACGGCATGGCTTCTTGGGCTTGGGACTGTTCTCTACCCTGTGACATCCTACAGCTGGGGCAGGAAGGGCCCCTTGGTGCAGATGACATTGCCATGGCTTCATCTCTCGCTGTACCACGCCCACAGCAAGCTTCTGGTGCCCCATAGGCACATGGCTCTGCCCTGGACATCATCCCGGTGACTCAGGACATTGACAGATCCCCAGCTGGGGTTGACACTCCTGGGCAGTGGGGTCCCTGCAGGTCACCTACTGGACTCCCTTCCTGGAGAACCTGGGCTGCCACCCAGTGCCTCCGCAGTGCCCTTGCCAGTGTTCCATCTGGAGCCAGAGCATACAGTGGCCTAGAGAAGGGAAGGCAGCAGCGCATCAGCCTCCAGGCAGCTGATTTCTGGGGTCTCGTGGCCAGGAGAGGACTGTAATGGAGACTGGAAAAGGTGGCTGGCTTGCAGATGCCAGGTGGGGAGAGGGCATATGTCCCACCCACCCTGCTCTCCCACTCCAGGGTGACTCAGCCACCTAGAACATCCCGCATACGTCACAGCCCCATGGCTGCTCAGCAGGAATGCCCCGGCGGGCTCCACTTCCCCCAGGTTACGGGGGCGCCCAAGGGTAGACAGTGCCCACAGGGCTGCAGCCACATGTGGCTCCAGGGCCTTTGAGTTCTTTGGCCTCCTTGTGCTTTAGTCTCCCCCAGTGGTGTCTGTGTGACACATCAGGGCCCACCATGGTGCATATCCCAGACACCCTCCATCAGAGGCACCAGGACTCAGTCCTGGTTTTGAGTGTAAGTCACTGGGCCAAGGGCAGGACTGGCCTGCAGAGAACAAGGATCTGGGAGCTGGCCTCTCCCCAGGAGATGAGGTAGTGCTGTGTAGCAGTGAGTCCCTAGCAGCTTGTGCACTCCCATCGACATCTTTTTGTTCTTTTTTTTTTTTTTTGGTGGAACCAGGGATTGAACTCGGGCCCTTGTGCTTGCCAGGGAAGTGCTTATTTCCCTGGCCCCATTTTTCTTTCTTTCTTTTTTTTTTTTTTTTTTCTCTCAAGGTACTGGTGATGGAATTGAGCCGCCCCACCTGGTCACTGAGCCTGCAGTTGGCTGCTTGCTTTTGTGTCCTATTGCTCTGGTTTCCCAGCTGGGACGATTAAACGGCCATTGGCGGCAGCCCCAGACTCAGCAGGGATTGAATTGATTCAGGTTGCTGCTCCTACTACCGCCAAGTGGCCTCTAGAGATGCCACTGTGTCCCCGGGGAAATCCCAGGCACTCTGCCTGCTGTTCTCTGCCATGCATGTGGAGGGCCTGGCATGCTGTGTTCTCACACCTCCTCCTCCCTACTGTGTCAGACACTTGCTCTACCAGCTACCTTTTCGTCCAGTTTCATTTGCATATGCAGCTCGGGCCCTCAGGCAGGTGCCTATCCCGGAGCCTCACCCAGCAGCAGTCTTAATACTCACACTCCCAGCCTTGCACTCTGAGATGAAGGCCCAGCTCCATCTGTCTGGTGCTCACTCCTTTCCCAGGTGCCTTGCTACAGAGGGTACAACACAATACAGGGTCTGCACCAGGCATGGTGTGAGAGACAGAGACTCGGCTTTGCAGGGCAGCCCCCGGCCCCAGGAGAAATGCTGGGAGCCGGCTCAGAAGGTCTCCAGTGCAGTGCAGTATGACACTCCCCTCCCCCGTGACTTCTCTGTCCTGGCCGTCAACGGTGGGGACCACCTCCCTGTGCCCTGAGACAGATAGGGCCTGGGCTCCACGGAGCTTCTCAGAGCAGGAGCGGGCACCGGGCCAGGCAGGGTCTTGACTAACGTCGCCTTTGGGACTTGGCTGTTTGTCCTAAGATGGGAGAGGTGGCATCGGTGTGGGTTTCATGATAGTGATTCAGGCTCAGCCTGGTCTTGATGGGTCAGTGGCCAGTGGCAGCTGCTGTGCTGGCCCCCAGGAGGTGCTGTACTCAGTCACTGGTGAGCCCTGTAGGGCCCTGGCTGCAGTATGGCTGTCAGCTGTGGGGAGGTGGAGAAGGCTTGCGTCTTTGTCCCTGGCCTCACCATGTGGGCTCTGTAGACACTGTCATCACTGCAGAGGGAACCAAGGATCATGGCCGCCTGGGCCCTCGGCCCTCCCATCCCTTTGTGTGTACATAGGGCCCACAGGTGCTTCCTGTCACATGTAACCCATGTGACATCCTGCTCTGCCGTGGCCCTCTTTGGGGCCCTGTCCAATTTTGGCAATGCCCCACACTCAGGCACTCAAGCCTTTTTCAAGGTACTAGGGGTTGAACCCAGGACCTTTGCACTGAGCTACATTCCCAGCTCTTTTCACTTTTCATTTTGTAAGAGTCTTACGGAGTTGCCCAGGCTGAGATGGAGTTTTGGATCATCCTGCCTGAGCTTCCCAGAGGACAGGCCCGCAGCACCACACCAGGCTACCACAGCCTTCGTGATTACTATGCTGCTGCTAGCATTAGGCACCTGTGTGTCCCACCTTTTCTTGACAGCCATTCTGTGCACTTGTGCCGGCCTGTGAGCTGTGGGGGTAGGGGCTTGTGGTTTGTATGTATCCTGACAGAGATGGGATATAGCCTCCTGGTGCCCCAAGAAGAAAGATATCAGATGGGGTGTGGGTCAGAGTGAAGGTGCTGGGGCTCGGGAAGGCTGCGTCCATTCGAACCCACGCAGTGGCCAAGGTGACTCCAGCAGATCACAGAGGCCTCTGCACATATTGTGTATAGTGCAGGGCCCTCACCTGGACTCCACAGTCGCTCCTGGCTTTAGGTCTCCAGTTATGGGAAGAGCCAGACCTCATCACAGGTGCCCTCTCAGTAACCCCCACCTTGCCACAACCAGAAATGAAATTGTCTTATAGTACAGCATGCAGAAACACCTAGGAGGTGCTGGGCTGCCCTGGTGCCTTCAGCAGAAGCAGGAGGCAGCCCAGGTGGCCCGAGCATCCCCTCCCTGCCCCTTCCTGCCTGCCTCTCCAGCTGCCCTCTCTGTCCCTTATGGACTTTGCCAAGGGGGTCCAGTTGGGTTGAGAGCTGCTGGCTCTTAGGTTCAGAGGGGTTCTGATTGCAGGCAGGGGCCAGCAGATGGGCCCCAGCCCAGAAGAATAGACACCAGCAGTGAGGTGGGCAGCCCCTGAGCACAGGCCAGGAGCACCTTCCTGTGCCCCACCCTGCCTCTGCAGCTCCCCACTTCCTTCTCACTGGTAACTTCCTTCTTGGTGCCTTGCCCCAGCGGTGCTCGCTGTCCCCCACCTGTGCCATCACCCACCTGTGCTCTCCAAGCACAGCCACAGACTGCTGCCAGTGGAGAGCCTATGGACGTGGGTGTATCCTGGGTGCCCCGTGCTGGAGGACTTGGGCAGTGGCTGTGGGTGGCATCCTGATGCTCCTGCTTTGGCCTCTGGTGTCCCAGGGTGTGTGTCCATGTACACACCAGGATGATGATTCAACAGGACATTAAACACGCCTGGTCCCTTCAGTGTGTTACGCCTCCCGACAGGGCTCCAGAGTAGAGAGCCAAAGTTACTGTGGAGACCCTAGCTGTGCAGTGGGCCCGTGCTGCCTCTGTACCGCAGCGTCAGGGGCAAATTTTAAAGACAGTTGACTGAGTCTCTGAAGAAGGGTGGCAGATTCCAATCAGCTTCTCAGTTATTCCCATGGGGGGCCAGGCAGGGTCACAGCAGCGGTGGGTGGGGCTGCCCTGTCCCTCAGCGTCTGGTCAGGGTCATGGGGTATGCACGTGCCATCACACAGTGACCTAGGCTGCCCGTGCTCCTTAGCCACATAGTCTGTCACTGCCGCCTTCCGTGTCCCTGGCAGGCACAGTGCTGTCCTGCTCACAGGTCTCCCTGCTTCTGTCCTCTAGCTGGTCAGCGAGAAGGTTGGAGGTGCTGAAGGGACCAAGCTGGACGATGACTTCAAGGAGATGGAGAAGGTAAGCAGGAGCCCAGCTCTGTATGACGCAGGCAACCTGGCAGGGCTGTGGAGTAGGGCAGGTGTCACAGGAGCCGGGCTCTGAGGACCAGGCAGGGAGCTGGCTGAGAACCCCACATGCTGCCTGTCTTCACAGAAGGTGGATGTCACCAGCAAGGCCGTGGCAGAAGTGCTGGTTAGAACCATTGAGTACCTGCAGCCCAACCCAGGTAGGATGGCAGCCTGCGGCCTGGCCCCTTGGGTTTCCATGTCCTTCGGAAACCTCTGTGTCACCAGCGTATGAGATGGGAGGGAGGTGGGCTGCGGGCACAGCTGGACTCAGGGGTCCTCAGGCTGTGCCCTTGCTTCCCTCATGGACTTGGGACCAGCATGCAGGGACCTGGCCAGGCTCTGCCCATGGAGTGTGGGACTGGTATCCTGGGCCAAAAGGGAGGTGGATCTTTTACCCAGAACCAAATGTTGCAGGCAGAGAAGCTGGGACCACAGGGCAGGCACCAAAACCAGCAGCAGGCCCCTTATCCCTGTGCCACAGATGAGGGACAGGCAGCTCTTGGTCCCAAAGGGAGTGGGTCCCCTCTCCTGGACACTACTAGCTCTCCCATGTGCTGAACTGAGCATGCTTTAGGACAGGGTGTGAGAGCCTCCAGGGTGCCCACTGGCCCATCCTCTTAACAGCCTCTCGGGCCAAGCTGACGATGCTCAACACTGTGTCCAAGATCCGGGGCCAGGTGAAGAACCCTGGCTACCCGCAGTCAGAGGGGCTGCTGGGCGAGTGCATGATCCGCCACGGGAAGGAGCTGGGCGGCGAGTCCAACTTTGGTGAGCAGCATAGTGTTGGTGTGTGGAGGTGCTCCGCCCAGCTGCGGTGCACATTCCCAGTGTGACACCTACGCCTTCCCAGGTGATGCCCTCCTGGACGCAGGGGAGTCCATGAAGCGCCTGGCTGAGGTGAAGGACTCCCTGGACATTGAGGTCAAGCAGAACTTCATCGACCCCTTACAGAACCTATGCGACAAGGACTTGAAAGAGATCCAGGTGTGCCCCAGCCCAGCCCCCAAGTCATGGGCCACAGGGGAGGGCCACGTTGGGAAGGGGCCTCCCAGCGACCCTGTGCCTCTGCCCACCTGCATGTAGCACCACCTGAAGAAACTGGAGGGCCGCCGCCTGGATTTTGACTACAAGAAGAAACGGCAGGGCAAGATCCCCGATGAGGAGCTGCGCCAGGCCCTGGAGAAGTTCGAGGAGTCTAAGGAGGTGGCGGAGACCAGCATGCACAACCTCCTGGAGACTGATGTGTGTGACTGCGGGGAACGGGGCCAGGCGCGGGCTGGCGCTGCCGTGGGGGCAGCAGGGCAGCCCCTGAGCCCTGCTGGTTCCACTCACAGGTGGAGCAAGTGAGCCAGCTCTCGGCCCTGGTGGACGCGCAGCTGGATTACCACCGGCAGGCCGTGCAGATCCTGGAGGAGTTGGCGGAGAAGCTCAAGCGCAGGTGCGTGCCCGCCTTGCTCAGCCTTGCGCCCTCTGGTGGCCAGCACGAGCGGGACATCTGGCTTTTCTAAAGGTCCCCAGGCTGTCAGACCGGTGAGTCCCCTGCGTGGGCAGGACCTCACTGAGCTCATTCTGGGCCCATGGAGAGGGAAAAAGAGGCCTGAGCCCCAAGAGATCAGAGGAACCAGACAGTTCAGAGCCTGCAAGGACCTCAGGAACTGCCCGCTCTGTATTTCCTTGGTCCTCTGGGAAACGGCTCAGTGAGTGGGGGGCTGGACAGGGCCTAAGGTATCAGCCACCTGCACCCCCAAGCCTGCACCAAACTGGGGCCCGTGGCCCTGCAGCAGGTGGGCTCCTTGCACAGCACTGCTTATCTTGTGCCCACTCCCTTGCAGGGTACGGGAGGCCTCCTCACGCCCCAGGCGGGAGTACAAGCCCAAGCCCCGAGAACCCTACGACCTGGGAGAACCTGAGCAGTCCAATGGAGGCTTCCCCTGCGCTCCAGCCCCCAAGGCCACAGGTAGGGGGTGGGAATACGCAGTGGGTGGCTGGAACTGGAGGGACTCCAGTGACCCAGAGCCCATCAGTCAGCTGCCTCTGTTTTGATAAAGCAACTTCGTCATCTTTCCGATCTTCTGACAAGCCCATCCGGACGCCCAGCAGGAATATGCGTGAGTGTCCCCAAGGGTCCCTGAGGGCACAGGTCCTCCCTGCACATGGCTGAACCGGTTGTTCTAGAAAGATCTCTCTCCTTCCTTCCCCATGAACGTCGGCTCCCCCATGGCTGTGGGTCCTCCTGCGCTATGATTTCCTGCCTACACCCATCAAGCAGTAGGGAGCTGTGGGGCCGAAAGGCCAAGAGCCTTGGGCCTGAGGCCTTGGCCTCAGTGCACTGAAGGGCTGCCCCATCCCTAGCTTGAGGCTGTGTGCACAGTGGCCCCAGGGCTCTGGTCACCCCAGATCAACCCCATGGGCCAAGTGTCCTGAGCCCCTCAGGAGCTGCTTTGGTGGCCGCTGCAGCAAGTGTCTACCCGTCTTCCCTTTGACACCCCTCACCCAGAGCAGGGGAAGGGGCTTCTCATCCTTCCCCACCTTTGGCTGCCGGCTGCACACCCTCATTCTCTTCCCACCCCCAGCACCCCTGGACCAGCCAAGCTGCAAGGCGCTTTACGACTTTGAGCCTGAGAATGACGGCGAGCTGGGCTTCCATGAGGGCGACGTCATCACACTCACCAACCAGATTGACGAGAACTGGTACGAGGGCATGCTGCACGGCCAATCAGGCTTCTTCCCCCTCAGCTACGTGGAGGTGCTTGTGCCACTCCCCCAGTGAGTCGGTGCTCCACTCAGCACTGCCCACACTAGTGCTCGTCCGTGCAGGGCTGGGCCAGGCCACACTAAGGTGCTCTCAGAAACACTAACGTTCCTCCCCACCCCACCTGGCCCCTCATCCTGACCAGGGGCCCAGCCCCAGTCCTGCTGCCTTAATAGGGCAGGTGGTTGAGCAGGGCCTTGGCCACCACCCTGGTGTTTAGACCCCTCCCAGCCCGTTGCTGGCGATGGGCCATGGCACCTTCTGGGGACTTCCCAGGCACAAATGTCCCTTGCTCTGCCCACATATAACCCTTTTTCTGGGGAGTTGGAGGTCCCAACCTCCAGCCTGCCACCAGCTCCCCCTGTGGCCTGGACCAGACCACAGGGTACCACCAGCTCCCATCCTTCTGATGCTGCCTGGCCAGGCATCTCTGGCACAAGCTGCCACCATCAGCTATGGGGACCACTGCCTGGCCTCCCTTGCCAACGTCAAGCACAAAGCTCTGAGAACAAGTATCCCCAGTCCCCAGCCCCTCCTCCCAGAGCTGCCATCACCCATCACCTGGGACCAGTGGGCTGGTGGGCTTCTCGTACCTCCGGACCCCTGCTGGCTTCCGCTTCCTCTGCTCTTCCAAAGGCCAGCTGATGGGAGGAACTCTAGGGCTGGCCATTCACATTCCCTCCACCGGGGACCCGCACAGACCCTGGGACCTGGGCTCTGCCCTTCCTCACACCCTCTTGTCACTGTCACATGGGGTGCATAACCCCAGCCTGGTTTGTAGTCCAGGGCAAATCAATAATGTATTCCTGTCTTTTTTAAAAAGTATTAAATGAGTCTTTCTACAACCCCCGGCCTCATCTTGTGCAGGGGAGCCTGGGTACCACAGCACCTGCACCTTCTTCCCCATGCCCAGGAAACCTCTAGTGCTATGAGGCTGGAGACCCCCGCCCAGCCACAGTGACACTGCTGTCTGCTCTGGATTCTTTATTGTCAGAGCCTCTGGGTCATGCAGGGTGGTGACAGTAACAGATGCAGCCACTGTCACCAGAGCCACCTGGCGGATGAGGTGGGAAGAGGGTGCAGGGAGCTCAGCCCGCCTGCTTGAGGACGCTGTACACCTGCTCCAGCACGTGGCTCAGCCCCTGGTCCTTGGGCGTCCTGCTGGCCAAGGAGATCTGCAGGGAGCAGGGCTGGGGTTGGGCTACCGCGGGGGACATGGGCCAACTTCCTTACCCACCGTCACTGGGCACAGTGGGGGCCCATACCCCTGCCTGGTGCAGCACCTGCTCGCCGGCAGTGGAAAAGCCCGCAAAGTGGAGCAAGCTGGACCACAGAGATACCTCAGTGGTCTAAGCGCCTGCCTGGCAAGCACAATGACCCAGGTTCAATTCCCTGCACTGCATGCTGTGCCAGCCCAGCCCCAGTTGCACCAAGCCAGCTACTAAAACCAGGTGTGGTGCACACCTGTAATCCCAGTGCTGGAGGCTGAAACAGGAGGATCACTATGAGTCCGAGCTATGTAGTGAACCCTGGACCAAATATGTGAAATTAAAAAGTCTTTTCTGAGAATGACTTTTGGGTAGGAAGCAAGGGGGCACTGAGAAGGTGTCTCGTTCCTGACGCAAATTCCCAGGTGAGGGGACCAAGTTAGAGCAGCTGCCCAGGCAGAGGGGCAAGCTGAGACGCACCCATGTGCCCTGGCTGGAAGCCTGGGACAGAGACCCTTACATGGGGACATCCCCAAGGGGTCAGGAGCTCTGGGCTTCCCAGTGTTATTTCTGTTTGGTGCCAGGGTAGAACCTGGGGCCTTTGGCTTGCTGAGTGCCCCCCTCACCCCCCCTCTAAGCTGCATCTCTTCCTCACTCTGCTCCAGCCCTGGGTGTCCTGGGGCCCACACCAGCTCACCTTGAGCTTGTCGAGGTAGCTGTGCTCCGAGCTCCAGGCCTCCTGGAACCTCACGAGATCGGGGGCGCCCTTGTAGAAGTCCACAAGCAGCATCTGCACGGCAGGACACAGGCTCCTGCTCCCTCCCTCCCTGCAGCCTGCAGCGGCAACCAAGTTCCACCAGCAGGGTGACAGACACAAGGGCCACAAAGGAGATTGGGTAGCCTAGCAGGAGGCCATGTGGGCCACATCCTAGAGATCTTAGGGGGAGGATGAGTGCCCCCTAAATGCAGTCTGGTGTGCACCCTAAGTCTGCACTGTAACTCCAGGGCCCTGGTGCCTCAGTCCAGCCTCAGCCCAAGCAGTTAACACCCCTGAGGCCGAAAGATGCAGTGATCAAGTCCAGCTTTTTTGTTGTGGTCTTGGTTTTTGTTTTGGGGGTTGAGACAAGTTCTTACTATGTAGTCCAGGTTGGCCTCAAACCTGTGATCCTCTTGTCTTAGCCTCCTGTGTGCCAACACACCCAGCCTCAGCTTTTTTTTTTTTTTTTTAATAACACTGACTGTTATTAAAAACAACTGTTATTGTTTTCAATAGCTATTGAAAACATCCACCCTGGGGCCAGGGAGATAGCTCAAGCACAAGAGCCCGAGTTCAATCCCAGTTCCACCAAAAAAAAAAAAGAAAGAAAACGTCCATCCTACCTGGAGAATACAGCTCAGTGGCAGAGTTCTTGCCTAGCCTGCGTGAGACCCTGGGTTCTACCCCCAGCCCCAGGAAAGCAAAACCACGTTGGGGGTGTCACGCATGTGACACTACCATCCAGCCTTCTGTCTCTCCTTGGAGGCTGGACTAGTGGGAGCCCCAGGCCATAACGCATCTAGCAGCCTGGGAGCCGTCCTCAGCACGCCCCAAGCCCCAGCCGCCCATGGGGAGATGCGCACCATCTCGTGGAGGAGGTCGTTGGTCAGGAAGCTGTCCTGCACATAGGCCATCTCCACATCCATGGGGATGCCGTAGTCACTGGGCCTTTGCTGGGGAGGGGGCAAGAGAAGCACAGGTGTGAGGTCCTAGGGACAGGCTAGACCCCCACTAAGGTCTATTGCTCAAAGCCATGTGGGGATGTCACAGAAGCCAGCAGTTTGGCCAGGGGGACAGAGTGGCTCATGTCTGACCCCAGGTGGGACCTGGGGGATGAAACCAGGCTGGGGTCAAGAAGGAAGCCGATTTGGACTACCTGGGCCCCACACCAGGCCCTCTGCCAAGCCTCCAGGTAACCATCATGTCCCTGTTCAGGGATAGGAGTCACTGAGGCCCCAGCTCCCGGTGGGCCCCAGAACCACAGGCTTCAGCCTTGGGGGTCCGCAGCTCTCCCAGCCAGGCCCCAACACCACGCCTCCTGCCCCTCGGAGCTCGCACGGCAGCCCTCCTACCTCTGGAGGCGGCATGACCCAGAATGGCGCAATCTTGGATTCAGGGCCTGGGTTGCCGGTGTAGTAGGGAGCTAGGGGCAGACAGGAAGAGAGGGCTGGGACCTGGGTCAGGAGCTAGCACACCCCCCCCCCCACCAACCATGCCAGGCAGTGCCTCACAGCAGAGTAGGGCAAGGCAGGGCTGGAAGCCGTTGCTGGCGCCCTGCAGCCGCAGCTGGTAGTCCATCTGCGCGTCGATGTCCTGCAGCGAGGGCAGCGCTGGGCTGTGTGGGTGGCTGTGGTACCAGCCCACCAGGGACAGGCCCCGCAGGAACAGGCTCTGGTAGATCTGGAGACAGGGACTCGCACGTGACCTACCGGGACCCGGCTGAATGCCAAGCCCCAGCCCTGCTGTCATCTACACGGTACCAGTATGGGGACAGCCAAGGAAAGACAGCTACAAGCCAGGTGCCCTGGGACACACCTGTCATCTCGGGGCTGCAAAGGAGGAGTACAAGCCCCAGGCCAGCCTGGGCAACTCAGCAGGTCTGCTGCACACCTGTAATCCCAGTATTCTGGGAGGCCGAGGCAGGAGGATTACAAATTTGAGCCCAGCCTGGGGAACTTAGTGAGGCCCAACTTAAAATATAAAAAGGGTGGGGAATATAGTTTGGTGGTAGTGGGTCAATCTCAGTACTGCAAAAAGAGGGATGGTAGCCATGCATAGACTTAAGCAGGTGGGGACATTCACAGATGTCACAAAAGGAGGTTGAGACTGCTTAGTTCAGTGCCACAACAGAACACTGTCACTCACAGGGCCTATAAGGCACCAAACCTAAAACTTGGGTTTTACAGATGCGGAAACTGAGGCTGGGGAAGGGGCTGGCAGGGTCCCAGCAGATACTATGCTCCCTGAGAGGACAGCATGGCCTCCCTGGCCCTCCCAGGCAGCCCCTCACCTCCTCCTCTGTGGCAGCTGCAGCCTCAGCATCCCCAAGCCGGCTCCGACAGGGGAAGGCCCTCAGCACTGTGAGCACTGTGTGGGGAGAAGCAGGCGTCCATCCTGGCCCCAAATGCCCCACCCACCAGGCCCCGGATACCCACTCTGACTGTTGATGTCCCAGCGGCCCCCCAGGTAACCCACGACCTCGCTCCGTGTCAGGTGGCTGTGGAAGTCCTGAGTGGGGAGGGAAACACTGGGTCAGGCTCCTGCCCCATTCAGGGGCCAGAGCCCACTTTCTCCTTCATTTATTGTACACTTACTGCTTACCAAAAACATTTATTGAACACCTACTGTTTATTTGTGTGTGTGTGTGTGTATTTGGTACAGGGTCTCACTACGTAGGTCAGACTCGTAGTGATCCTCCTGTTTTCAGCCTCCCCAACGCTGGGATTACAGGTGTGCACCACCATGGCTGGTCTCAGTGGCCAGCTTAGCATGCCCAGGGGGCAGGGATGACACAGCATGTGGTGCCAGGGATGGAACCCCGGTCCCTGCACTTGCCTGAGCAGGCACTTAGCCCGCTCAGCTATCTCACACTGGTCCTTCGCCTACTGTTTACTGCTAACGGTTTTTGAGCACTTACATGGGACTCCCTCCCAAGTGTCCCATGCCCTAGAACCCACTGCCCCCCAAAACAGAGGGACAGGGTGGCAGGCACCTGGGTCACATACCAGCAGGAACAGCACATTGCTGGAAACAGCCACGTTGAATGGCTGGAACTTGTTGATGGCTGAGAAGGATGTGACTTCCACCAGGGTGTGGGGGCTCCTGGGATGGAGGACAGGGGGGTCACAGCCTCAGGAACCCCCAAGTTCATCCCTCACCCCCTAAACCAGCTCCCTGCCCCCTCCCTGCTGCTCTGAGGTTGTGACCACGCCCCCTTGCTCCCTGACACCTACCAAGGCCTCCAAGGGGACCAGGGGTGGTATGGGCTCTGTATTTCTGACCTGGCAGAGTCTCGACTGCCCAGCATGCAGTAGCGGACTGGCACTCGGATCTTACTTTCTATGCGTTTCCCTGGAGGCGTGGCCTCTGGGGAGGGGACAGAGCGGGAAGAAAAGCAGTGTCAGTCTCACCCCAGCCCACCTGGAGATCAAAGGAAGGAGGATCAAGAAAAGGGAGGGAGGGGCTGGAGAGATGGCTCAGTGGTCTAAAGCGCCTACTTGGAACAAGCTTGGCAAAGCACAGGGACCACGGTTCGATCCCCCAGCACCACATGCCAGCCAGCTGCGCCCCCTGGTGGGCTGAGCTGGCCACCCACCCCCCCCCCCCCCCCCCCCACACAATAAATAAATGTTTAAAAAAAAAAAGAAAAGGGAGGGAAAAATGTCTAAAGGTGGCCTTAAAAAAAAAAAAAATCAGACTGTGAAAGCAGGCAGTGTAGCACAAGCCTCTAATCCCAGCACTGGGGAGGCTGAGGCAGGAGGATCCCTTTGAATTTAAGGTCCTTCTGGGCTGCACAGCCCAAGACCAGCCTGAATTACATATCAAGTCCCTGTCTCAAAAATAAAATAAAATGTCAGTGAGACCAGGAAATCAGCACATAAAGAAGATGGGGGGGGGGGAGCCAGCCAGATAGCTCAGCAGATTAAAGCTCCTGCTTTGACAGAGCGCAGTTGTTGGGGTTCAATCCCTGACGTACCATGCTGGCTCTGCCCTCGGGGTGGGCTGAGATGGCCATTGAGACTGGGCAATTCAGACTGGGCATGGTGGCTTAAGCCTATAATCCCAGCACTTGGGAGGCTGAAAACAGAAGAATCACTACAAGTCAGATCCATGTAGTGAGATACTGTACACCCTGTCCTAAATTCATTAAAAAAAAAAAAAAAAAAGAAGACAGGGTTCAATCCCTGGCATGCCATGCTGTCCCTGCCTGGGGGTGGGGTGGGGGGACTGAGACTGGGTATGGTGGCACGTGCCTGTAATCCCAGCACTTGGGAGGCTGAAAACAAGATGATCATTATGGGTCTGATCTGTGTAGTGAGACCCTGTAGACCCAGTACTAAAATACATCTTTAAAAAAAAAAAAAAAAAAAAGAAAGAAAGAAGGATCCAGAAACGTAGCATCAGAGTTTAAGAAGTGAGCCAGGGATATAGCTCAGTGGCATAAATGCCTGCCTGGCAAGTATAAGGTCCTGAGTTCGATCCCTGATACTGCAAAAAATAAAATAAAAATAAAAAAGTTTAAGAAGTGAGGCAGGGAAGCTCAGTAGGGTGGCATACACCTGTCATCCCAGCACTTTGGGAAGCTGAGGCAGGAAATGGAAAGTTCAAGTGTAGCCTGAAGAATCTGGCAAGGCCCCATCTCAAAACAGGGCTGGGGGCCGGGGAGATAGCTCAGTAGAATAAGCGATTGCCTGAGTTCAATCCTCGGTTCTGGGGGGAAAAAAAGAGTGGAATATCGAGGGCCCACCTTTGCCCAGCCTTCTTCCCCCCCCTCCACTCCCCGCTGCCCCTCACCGGGGTGGGCAGTCTCCGTGGGACCCTTCCCAGGGGGTTTCCGACTCTTGTCCTCCGTTGAGACCCCCACCAGAGCCTCCTCCTCCTCTTCCTCCATCAGCAGCTCCTCCTCTTCCGCTTCGCTGGCTGGGCTCTGGTGGGGCAGGGGCAGCACAGAGCCTCAGCAGGACGGCCTCTCACCCCCATCTTCCCTCCAGCCAGTGCACGCACAGATCAGTCACCCATCGCGGAGGTCCCAGGCTTGAACTCTGCCGCTCGCCCTTACACACTATGCGAGCTCCCTAACCTCCCTGGGCTGCTTTCACCTGTGAAATGGCACAGTGATCACGGGCCCCAAAAGGGGAAATAAGACCCATGAGTGCCGAACACCCTGCTACCCTCACAGGGATTAGTATAACATCCCTCAATTCCCTCTTTCCCCACTGTTTCACAACTCGGAGTCCCAAGTTACCTCTTTGACTCTAAATCCATCCCTGTCCACTGTCAGCACTGCCCGACCCAGCAGCTGCCCCCTCCTCCCACCTGCCCAGCTTTTCTTTCCCCCAGTTGTACCCAGGAATGGGTGGTTCCTCATGCCTCTTTCACGCTCGCGCTCATATAGTCCTCCCCGCAGTGGCCACGAGATGGCGCCACGACCACGAGATCGGGTCCCTCCAGCCTCGTCCTCAGACCCCACGACTCCCGACTCCCACCTCCCCGGAGCCAAAGTCCAAATCCTCCTTCCGGCCGCCCTCCCCCCCACCCCCGCAACTTCTCACTCCCTGTGCTTCGGCACACGGCCTCCTTGCTGCTCCTTTGCACGGGCCGTGTCCTCCCCTCCTGTAGCTCTCTACCCAGCTGTAACCTACTCCTCAGCCCAGTTGTGGAGAGGTCATGTCTACTTCCACACCCCTAATTCAATAGTGAGTCAGGGAGGACAAACCTCGTCGGCAACAGTAACGGGGATGTGGAGCTGGTGTCGCCGCAGCCAGGCAGCCTTATACTTGTCCAGTTTCTGGCCCTTGTACTTGACCGAGGCCCAGCCACAGCCAGACTTCTTGGCTGGGTTGACCAGCTTCTTGCAGTGGGTGGCCCAGGCACTGGGGGAGTTGAACACCTGCCCGGTTTCTTGCCACACAATCCTCCCATCAGGCTGCAGGTCTCCAATGAACTTCTTCCCCTAAGGATGAGGAGATAGGGTCTCTCTTGATTAATCAGCGGGATGTGGTGGAACACATGGTCATCCCAGCACTCCGGGAGGCTGAGGCAAGATTTCCAGTCCAAGGCCAACAAGAGCAACTTACCAAAACCCTGTCTCAAAGTTAAAAAAAGGAAAAAAAAAAAAAAAAAAAAAAAAAAAGCATTAACAGTAGAGGGCCAGACAAATAGCTCAGTAGATTAAAGCACCTGCAAGCAGGTGCAGGAGCCCGGGGTTTAATCCCCAGGCCTGCAGTGCCTGCCCCGGCCCCAGCCCTGGGGGCACTGAGATGGCTATTGCGACTGGGCGTGGTGGCACATGCCTGTAATCCCAGTTTTTGGGAAGCTGTAAACAGCTGGATCACTACGAGTCTGATCTAGTAGTGAGACCCCGAATGCCCTGTAGACCCTTCCCTAAAATACAAAAAAAAAAAGATGGAAATAATGACACACCGCATAATAAAGCTCTTTCTTTCTTTCTGGGAAATTGCTGTTTGCTGAAGGCTTTATTCACTTAATGCTTGTGCAAGGGTCTTGGGAAGAAAAATAACCCATTTTACAGATGAGGAAACTGTTGCTACCACAGAGAGGCTGAAGGAAGTCACAGCCAGGTCAGCAATGGTATAGCCCGTCTTCCCTATGCAGGTGGGGGGGGGGAGGCTCTTTCTTTGCCTCAGTTTCTCTTTGGCAAAATGGTGTTCTGTGTGTGCTTGTGTTAGTACTGGGTACTGAACCAAGATCTTACATCCCCAGACCTTTATTATAAAATTTTTACTTTGAGACAGGGTTTTACTAGGTCACCAACTTGCCATGCCGGGCTCAAATTCGAGTTTTTTTCCCCTCAGTGCCTTAGAGTACTGGAGGTCACAGACGGACCACCACAAGAGGCTGGAACGTGGCACTCAATGAACCACGTCCTCCAGCCCAGAAGACCTCCATCCTGAGTCTGGATACTCCGTGCCTCAGTTTCTCCTCCTCATATACATACGGGATCATCCTGCAGCAAGAGCCCCGGGGTTCAGTTTCGCCCTTGCCGGAACCTGATGGGGTGCAAGGTGCGCGCTCACCAGGTAGTAGATGGAGAGCACCCCGGCGCCCGGCTCCAGCAGCGCGTCCTTGAGCAGCACTCGCAGCGTGACCGCACGCCGGGTGAGCGCGCCGCAGATCCCGATCGCGGCCCCACCGACCGCGCCACCGCCACTTCCGCCGCCGCCACCGCCTCCTCCACTGCCGCCGCCGCGTCCGCCGCCCAAGACTGCTGGCCGCTCGGGGTCCTCGGTCTCCGCCTCCTCCTCGTCCTCATCCGGCGCCTCGTCGCCCGCGCCGCCCGCAGGGGACAGAGGCTCAGGAGCTGCGGGGGCACCGCCAGGATGCAGAGGGCCGCGCGCATCCCCGGGTCCCACACCCCGAGCCCCGCGACCCGCCGGCACCGCAGCCGCCATGGCCGCCGCGCCCCGCGCCCTGCGCGGCCTCTCCGCCACGTGACCCGGCCCCGCCCCGCCAGGGGCGCCCCAGATATCGCAAGCCGCCGCCGGAGGGCGCAGGGGGGCTCGGCCCGCTGCTTCTAGCGAGAGAACTGAGGCCTCGGGGCTGCGCACGCGCGCGCACTCACCCCTCCCGGAGCAATCGGGAAACTGACTTAAGGGTGGTGAGGACCTGCGGGATGAAACTGCGGCCCAGGACCTTCAGTTGTGAGGATCTCCTGGCCTCATTCCAGGCTGCCACCTACCGAGATGCACTGAGGCTGGGGATCTGGACGTGAGGGCTCAGCCTAGTAGAACGAGCGGGAAACTGAGGCAGCGAGACCGCGCACGCGTGGGAAAAGGAAGCCGGGAACTCAGTCTTCCGGCACCAGTTGGGAAACTGAGGCTGGAGGATGACGGAGATGTGGTGGAGGAATCAATCTGGTGGCTCCCCCCGAGACCACTTATTGGTCTGCAGCCGAAAGCTGGGGACTGAAGAATGGTTCAGCCCTCTGGATTGAGTGGGAAGACGGAAGCACATTTGTCTTAAGGGACTCGGAAGTCTCGGCCATTGGTATCAGGAAGAGGTCATGGGGAGAGGATCGGGCTGCAGTGAGGAAGCACCCCAGAGCGCGGTGTCTCAAGTGCCAGGGCCTGTTTCCCCTCAGACCTAGCTCCAGCCTCTAAGGGTTGAATTTATTTATTTATTTATTTATTTATTTATTTATTTATTTATTTATTTATGACAAGGTCTCGCTACTAGTTTAGGCTGGGCTCGAATTTGCAGCCATCTTTTCCTGCCTCAGCCTCCTGAGTGCTGCGATTACAGGCGTGCGCCCCCACACCGGGCTCTAAAGGGTTAATGCAGGCCAATCCCTAAATTCCCCAATTGCTCAAGAGAAGAGCCTACCAACCAATTATATCGCACCTATAACCAGTCAGGGGCGGCAGCTGGGTTTACGCTCAGCCAATCATTATTAAACTGCTGGTTCCGCCAGGTTCGGATTCAGCCAATGGGCAGCAGTCCACATTGGCCAATCATCAGGGCCTCCGGGCCTATCCATCTACGCAAGTTCAGGCCACGAATTTAGTCTCTTGGAGGAAAGGGGGCGGGGCTCGGTGGATCTCGCTCTGGGACTCTCCGCTTCGGCGTTTGTCCCCAGCTACTGTCCTCAGCTTCTGTCCTGGGACCTTTGTTCCGAGGCTGGAGCTCCCCCAGTATCTAGTATCCGGCTGACCTGAAAACCCCGGGGCGGGTACATCCCAGAACTGAGAGACAATAAGGACTGTCCTCAGACGCGGGTGGGGTTTCCGCAGACTTGTCAGTGGATGAGAGGCGACAGGATATGAGGGGCACGGAAGCCCCAATTTGTTTTTTCTTTTCTTTTTTTTCCCAGTGCTGACTGGGATTAAATCAGTTAATCTCTGTATCGTTCCAGTTTTAGTGTATGTGTTACCGAAGCGAGCACTGGGATTAAATCAGGACCTTCCCACTCAGCTACACCGCCAGCCCTTTTTTAAGGCTTGTTGATCAGCTGAGTTTTTTTGAGACCAAGATTCCCTATTAGCTCAAGCTGCCCTCTCACTCACGAAAGCCGCCTGCCTCAGCCTCCCATAGTGCTGAGGTTACAGTCCTGGGGACCATGCTGCCCTGGTAAGCTGGTCCCACGGAATTTCCTCCACTTCTTGGTTAACTTTCTCTTCTGTCTCCCGTTTTGTAAAACCCTCAGACCTCCAGTATCTCCCAGCCAGGCCCTGGTTCTCAGCCCTCTCCTCTTCCCCAACCTGTCCCATTTTCCACCCTGCCCTTTTGCGTTCTTAGGAAAAGAATCTTCCTAAAATGTAACCATTTCCACCTTCTTTTCTTTCCCTGAATCCCTCAAAGGCTCCCCATTGCCACGGACAAACAGAACTAAAACTAACGCCCTTGTTGGTACCAGGGATCAAATGGAGGACTTTGTACTTAGCAGGCCAGTGCTTATGCCACTGAGCCATCTCCCTGGCTCTAACCCCTCTGTCTTAACTGACAACTTATGCACTTCTGTGTGCTACTGTGATGTTGTGAGCTGTATTAGATTTAGCAGATAAATAAATTGCCCTAAGCGGGGCATGGAGACAAATGCTTGTTATCCCAGGACTCTAGGAGGCTGAGGTAGGAGGATTCAAAGTTTGTGCCTAGCCTAGGGCAACTTGGCAATTTAGTGAAGTCCTGATTCTAAATAAGAGCCATGGGTGTAGCTGAGAAGACTTTGTTTCAGTCCCCAGTCCTTCAAAAAAGAAGCAGAGTCTAGAGCCATTCATCTTACAGTCCCAGGAAGATGTCTTTGGAGATACAGGCAAGCTTTTTCTCACATTTACATGCCACTCAAAGCCTTCATATTATGCCCTTATGTGTGTGTGTGTGTGTGTGTGTGTGTGTGTGTGTGTGTGTGAAATCTGTCCTGTCCCAGAATCCTGAGGCTGCCACCTCCCTTCCAAACTCAGGAGCCCTTTGAGGCTGGCCGGGATTTCCCCAGGATCCCCAGACCTGTCCCAGCCCAGTGCCCGCCCAGTACTGGCAAGGGAGGGAGGTGACAGGCTGACAGTAAGAGGAAATTCCCCTGGAACCTGTTCCTCGGCTTCCTGGCCCCACAGGGACACCAGCTGGAAAGAGAGGCCTGGGCAGAGCCCCCAGCCGCCATGGCTTCAGCCCCGATCCCACCTCGGGCCCCCAAGCCCAAGGCCACCCAGCCTTCACACTACCATGAGAGCTTTCTAGAGAAAAAGGGGCCCTACGACCGGGTAAGGTGGGGCAGGGAGCCTGGCACTGCTGGGCAGCCTGCGCAGGTGTGCTGCCTCTCTGGACCTCAGTTTCCCCTCTGGCCCGGGAGGTGGGGGAGGTGCAGAATGGGCGGAGCACAAGCCAGGGGCTAGGAAGGGCTCTGGCCGTCTGTCTGTCTGTGTCCATGTCTCTGCTTCTCCCACTGTGATCTCCATTCCCGCCTTCTATTTCTCTGCTGATCTGTCTTGTACTTCCTCAAGGAAGCCAGAAGCCCTCTGACTCCTGTGCCTCCTTCCCCTCCACGTCCAGAATTAACCTCGTGAGTTTGAGTTGCTGAGTCAGGCTCAGGACTGATGTCAGGTGGGCACAGTGAAATTTAATGGGGCCACATTTCATGGGGTTGAGCAGGTACTGACTGTACAACCAGTGTATGGTGCCATGTGTGTGCATGCGTGTGATTAAGGATCAGGACACACACCTGTGTGTGGCACACACCTGTGCTTGTACAGGGCCCCTTGTGTAAGCTTGAGGGTGAGCCAGGAGGGTTTCAAGCTTGAGTCCAGCCTGGGCAACTAGGTGACTTAGCAAAACCCTGTCTCAAAATACAAAATATTGAAAAATAAAAAAAAAATAAAAATAAAAATACAAAATAACTGCCTAGCAACCACAAGGACCTGAGTTCAATTTCCAGTACAAATAATAAAAATAAGGGCCGGGGAGATAGCTCAGTAGAATAAGTGCTTGACTGGCAAGCACAGGGTCCTGAGTTCAATCCCCCGTACCACAAAAAAAAAAAAAAAAGAAAAAGAAAAGAAAACAACAACACAAAGGGTTGGTTTGGAGCTCAGCATGAAGCTCCTGGGTTCAGTCCCCAGAACCACCAAAAAGGAGGAGGGCCTTCATCCTCACTGGGATATATACCTGTGTCATAGTCAGGCACCTTCCTGGAATTGGGGGGCAGTTATAACACTCCACATCCCACTGTAATTGCTTCATGCATTTCTAGTTCCCTGGAAAACTATGCTGGGAAAATTGACCACGCAGCAATCCTGGTAATTATGACTCAGGATGGCCGCTGTTGTAGTCAGCTGAATCCATACAGACAATACGTTTGGTCCTCTAGTGATGAACTCCCAGGGCCTGGGAGTAGACTGCCATGTGGTAGCCCTTCAGCAAAGGCTGGGCAGAAGCATGGGTGGACCTAATGGCTGGGTAGGTGACCAGATGGAGGGACGGATGGATGGATGGATGGGTAGGTGGATAGATGGGCTGACGGATGGGTGGATGGATGGGTAGGTGGATAGATGGGTGGACAGTGGATGGATAGATGGATGGATGAGTGGATGGACTGAGGGATGCCATATAAAGCCAGTTCAGCTCACTTTTGATGCTCGACCCCCATAAATTGTGAGGTTTCTCTGGATCACTCACCCCATCAAGATTCCTTTGTTTTTCTCTTTTCCTCACTCCCTTTGTCTGTCTGGCTGCCTTCTTCTTCTTCTTTTTTTTTTTTTTTTTTTTTTTATTTTTTTTTTTTTTTTTGTGTGTGTGTGTGTGTGTGGCCAGCTCAGCCCACCAGGGGGCGGGGCTGGCTGGCATGTGGTGCTGGGGATTGAACCGCGGTCCCTGTGCTTTGCTAAGCTTGTTCTAAGTAGGTGCTTTAGACCACTAAGCCATCTCACCAGCCCCTGCCTTTTCTTTTCTTTTCTTTTCTTTTCTTTTCTTTTCTTTTCTTTTCTTTCTTTCTTTCTTTCTTTCTTTCTTTCTTTCTTTCTGTGTATGTGACATTGGGGATTAAACCCAGTACCTTTGCACTAAGCTACAAAACTCTTCTTTAATTTTGAGATAAGGTCTCAAATGTAGTGAGCTACATTGTTAAGTTGCTCAGATTGGGTTTGGATTTGCAATCCTTCTGCCTCAACCTCCTAGAGTGCTGCGATGACAGGTGTGCGCCACCACATCTGGCTCATTGTTACTTTTCTTTTGTGGTGCTGGGATAGAGCCAGGGCCTTGTGCGTGCTAGGTAAGTGCTCTACTACTGAGCCACATCCCTAGCCCAAGGATCATTTTTTGTCCTTTTTTGGAGGACAACAGAAACTGGATCATGCATGGGTGGGGAGGTCCACCCTGAACAGGTGACATTTGAGGAAAAGCCCCAAGCTGGTGCTGAAGGTAGCTGTTCATAGACCTAGGGACAAGGGTGCAGGCCCAGGAAGGCAGTGGGAAGGCCCTGGGGCAGGAGTGAGCACTCTGAGGGAGCCCAGCTCTGCTAGCTCACCTCTTCTCTTTCTACTTCTGGTTTCCAGAACTACAGGAAGTTCTGGGCAGGGCTGCAGGGCCTCACCATCTATTTCTACAACAGTAATCGGGATATCCAGGTAAGCCTGAGCACAGGGACCATGCTGGGAACGTGGCTGCTAGGCCAGGCAGGGGCTGCCTCAACCTGAGGGCCACCAGCCTGGTGCTCAAACCCTGTCTCTGTCTCTGTGCCCAGCCCCTGGAGAAGCTCGACCTGAGAACATTTGTGAAGCTCACGGACGACGTTCCCCGGGGAAGCATGTGGGACCCAGGCATCTACTTCAGCCTGGTCCTCAGGGACCAGGACATCAGGTTCAAGGTGGGTTTGGCAGATGAGCATCGGGAGAGGCTCCCTGCCCTCCCTGTCAGCACACTCCAGGGTGGAGTCTCACAGACGGATGTACTCAGTGAGTGACACTGTACCAGCGAGCCAGTCAAGCTCTCTGAGCTCCAGGCTCGGTTAGAGGGCTTGTCAGTAGAGGCCACCGCCGTGAAAAGGCACTGGGGTGGCCCAGAACCCTGCAGTACAGGAGCAGTGAGGAGGCCCTGTGGCCAGAACAGAAGTAGGGAGAGGCAGAGGAGGAGTGAGGGAGGCAGGAGGGGGTAGGTGGGACATGCAGGGCCTTGTGGGCAGCAGAGAAGACATTGGCTCTGAGGCAGGTAGAACTGTGGGAGATCAGAGCAGCAGAGGAACACATGATCTATGTTTTCAAATATTAATATAATAAATCCTGAGGGTACTTGACTGACCTTATCAGATACAAAAGTTAAATTTCTTAAAAAAAGAAAAAGTTAAATTTCTTGTTACATAGGTCTTGCTTTATCTTGGTCTTAACCATCCAGCAGAAAGTATAAAAACGAGGTATATAAAGTAAAGCCATGGGGCTGGAGAGATGGCTCAGTGGTCTAAAGCACCTATTTGGAACAAGCTTGGAAAAGCACAGGGACCGCGGTTTGATCCCCCAGCACCTCATGCCAGCCAGTCGCGCCCCCTGGTGGGCTGAGCTGCCCCCCCCCACACACAAAATAAATGTTAAAAAAAAAAAAAAGTAAAGCCATATTAATATGATGAGCTGTAAAAGGCTCAAGTCAATAACTTCCGAGGATAACCCACTAATATTATAGACTGCTAGACAGTGTTGGACTGTTTTGCTGAATTCAAATACATATAGTATTTAGATGCCAACAGAATATCCACCTCTGACAGGACTAAACAAAAGGGATACAAAGGAAAGATCATTTTGTATTTATATATACAAAATAGTTAGTATAGATATATCGCTACTTTTGCTTCATTCAATGAAAAGAAAGAGGTATACTAACAGTATTTGGACAGGATATCCTGTCTGTTTCTTGTACTATGGATAACCACTAAGAAGATAACAATATACAATGTAGTGACTATCAGAACTGTCCTATTGGGCTGGTGAGATGGCTCAGTGGTCTAAAGCACCTACTTAGAACAAGCTTAGCAAAGCACAGGGACCGCGGTTCAATCCTCCAGCACCACATGCCAGCCAGCCCCACCCGCTGGTGGACTGAGCTGGCCACACACACACACACACACACATAAATAAATAAATTTAAAAAAATAAAAAAAACTGTCCTATTAATCAGCTTTGAAACTGTCTCATTCATATTTGTTTCTCAATAAAGTTATTTATTTATTTTTTATTTATTTATTTTTACATTTATTTAGTGTGTGTGTGTGTGTGTGTGTGTGTGTGTGGCCAGCTCAGTCCACCAGGGGGCGGGGCTGGCTGGCATGTGGTGCTGGGGGATTGAACCGCGTGGTTCCTGTGCTTTGCTGAGCTTGTTCTAAGTAGGTGCTTTAGACCACTGAGCCATCTCTCCAGCTCCAATAAAGTTAAAATAAATGAAAATATTAATATAATAATATTAACATTAAAAAAAGGCCAGCCTGATAGCTTAGTGGACTAAAGGGTCTGCTTAGGCCGTGTGCAGCGCCTAGGGTTTGATCCCGGCTCGCTGTGCTGGCCCCGTCCCCGGGACCCACTGAGAGGGCGACTGAGACTGGGCGTGGTGGCGCGCACCTGGAATCCCAGCGCTTGGGAGGCTGAAAACAGGAGGATTGCTACGAGTCTGCTCTGTGTAGTGAGACCCTATAGACCCTGCCCTATTTGTATTTTTTTTTTTTTTTTTTTTTTTTAGGGAAAGGTCTACAGGGTGTTTAGGGTCTCACTACTAGATCACACTTGTGATTCTCCTGTTTACAGCCTCCCAAGAGCTGGGATTACAGGCGCATGCCACTACCCCCAGTCTCAATTGCCATCTCAGCGCACCCCAGGGGCAGGGCTGGCACAGTAGGCCCAGGGACGAACCTCTGGCCCCTATGCCTACTTGCAGGTGCTTTTAATCCGCTGAGCTATTTGGCCAGCACTGACCCTCTACTAAATACAGGGGGAAAATTTTTTTTAAAAAAATCCCAAGTTATTGGGGACTTATACTCAGACATCATCTTGAATTAATCTGTCTTATTCCATTTCCAAAGTGGCTCTTGGAAATAGAGACATGGCCCATTTCCCAGATGACGAGACTGAGTCTCATTTGTAAGCGTCTTTCTTCTCTTCCCTAGGCGGAGAGCCTGGAGTCTCGGGAGATGTGGAAAGGCTTCATCCTGACTGTGGTGGAGGCAAGTATGGCTCCTTTTTGGCTCAAGAGTTTCTGAGAAACCTTTTTCCTTCCCATCCTTCATTCTGCAAATGAGTTTCTAGGGTGTGGTATGATAGACTCAAGCCTTGGGCCCATGACCCAAACATAGTTTTTTCCATAAACATATTTTATTTCTGTCTTTTTTTTTTTTTCTGTTTCTTTGTTTTGTATTTTAGGGAAGGGTCAACAGGGTGTTCAGGGTCTCACTACTAGATCTCACTCGTAGTGATCCACCTGTTTACAGCCTCTCAAGAGCTGGGATTACAGGCGCACACCACCACGCCCAGTCTCTCTTTCTTTCAAAAGACTGCTGTAACATTAGTTGGCAGCATCCCCAAACCAGGAATGTTCATTTGTATTCCTCCCCCTACGCCCGGATTGAACTCAGGACCTTGTGCTTGGCAAGCGCTTATTCTTTGGGTTTTTTTTTTTTGGGGGGGGGGCTTTTTTGGCAGAAGGGGGATTAAACTCAGGCCTTTGTGCTCACCAGAGAGGCATTTATCCACTGAGCCATCTCCCCGGTGTCTGGCAAGCGCTTATTCTATTGGGCTATCTCTGAGGCCCTCGTCTGCGTTCCTGATATCTCTTCCGTTCGTGATTTTCTTGTGCAGCTCTCACACGCTACTGTGCTTGGAACCTGCTGGTCTGTCTCCACTGCAGAGTTTGAGTCCCTAGATTCCAGGTTCTGCTTAGTCCCTTTCCTGCTCTCTGACCCCTCGACGAGCCCGCTTTGCCCCTTGGAGCACAGTCCCAGGCTGGAGCTCTGGGACTCGCTTTTCCATGCTGATCTGCATGCTGGCATCTGTGACTTGAGCTCAGAGACCCCTTTGTCACGGACTATGCCGACACTGCTTCAATCACCCCTCAGCTTTGTGTCCCATCCAACCTGACCCTGCTGCCTGGACACCTGTACATGATGGCAGAAACCTTGGCCAAGGAGGAGGCGCGCCGTGCGCTGGAGGTGCCCTCGTGAGTGAGGAAGCGGGCTAGGGGCCGGGTTATCTGTTGGGGCGTGACTTGGCCTGGGAAGGGCCTGGTCTTCCAGAGCGGTGGGTTGCCTGGGGAGGGGGCAGGCCCTGGGGTGGTGGTGGGGTCGAGGTGTTCGGAAGGGAGACTTAATCCCTTGAGCATCCAAGTGCCTGAAAGGTTTGTCTGAATCTCCTGGAACTAGGGTTTTGGGCAAGCCTTTGGCATGGGGTCCTGCGCCCAGGAGATGGGCCTCAATCTGGGTCTGGAGATGGACTGGGTGTCTGGGGTCAGGTCCTGGGATTTAGGACATGTTGCCAGTCCCAAGGGGCCGGGTTCTGTGGCTTGGCCTCCGGAGGTAGGGCTTTTCTTACTGGGTGACATGCCTACTCTCTCCAGGTGCTTCCTGAAGGTGAACCGGGTGGATGCGCAGCTCCTCCTAGAGCGCTACCCCGAGTGTGGGAACCTGTTGCTGCGGCCCAGCGGGGCTGGCACAGATGGTGGTGTGTCGGTCACCACCCGGCAAGTGTTCAATGGGTGCGCATACCTGCTGGGAGCTGGGCAGGAGGAATATTTGCATGGGGCGTGGCCAGAGTTCAGGGTGTGCCATCCGCTGGTGCCTCAGACGCCTAGCGGAGACTTGGACCCCTGTCAGGGCTCCCGAGCCTTTGGGTAAGGATCAGAGGTCGGGGCAGGACTGGGCAGTCTATAAGCAGAGTGCTAGGGTCAGTTCAGGTCAGGTAAGGATCGAGTGGGAATGGAGTCTGGGCCTTTGGGACTAACACAAAGTCAAATCCAAGAATGGAAATAAACCCTTTGAGCAGGGAATCAGGGCAGGTGTGCGTGTGTGTGTGTGCGCGCGCGCGCACGCACGCGATAGTCACAAGGGGGGTGTCCTTGGTTGTGGCATCAAGTTCTGGAGAAAGGGCCACTGGTGTGTTATCGGGGCCCATCGCTGAATCCTCCGAGCTGCCTATAATTAGGGGCAGGGCCACAGTGAGAGTAGAATCAGAATCCAGGGGTGGAGCCATACGAAGGTGCAAGGTCGTTACTGGGGGGTGGAGTCAGCTGACTTGGTGCGCCCTGGGAGCCAGGAGGGGAACCTCCATTGCAGAGTCTTCCTGGGGGTGGAGCTAGGATTAGGGGCGTGGTCTTCGTTGGGGGTAAGATCAATTGACAGGGAGGATGGAAAACCGTGTCTCTAGTGAGCGTGCGTCAGCCTTCCCGGGGTGGAGCCAGGACTGGGGGCAGGGCCCTGGAATGTGATCCTGAGTTCAGTCCCCCAACAGGAAACCTGTTGTCCGGCACTACAAAGTGAAGCGCGAAGGCTCTCAATACGTGATCGATGTAGAGGATCCGGTAAGCGCTGGGCTTGGCTTCCTATCAGCGCCACGACGGGGTGGTTCTTTTCCCCACCGGCCCTAAACGTGCCCCCGTCCTGCCCCTCAGTTCTCCTGCGCCTCTCTGGACGCAGTTGTCAACTATTTCGTGTCACACACCAAGAGGGCACTGGTGCCCTTCCTGCTGGACGATGACTACGAGAAGGTGCTAGGTGCGTGCGGCTCCTGGGAGCCTGGGTAATGGGTGTCTGCCCCTCTCCTGCCCCCGCTCCACAGGGACACCCCCCAGGCCACCCCAGGCCGTTCTGCCTCCCCCAGGCAGCCCTCTGTGTTCCAGGCTACGTGGAAGCAGATAAAGAGAACGGCGAGAATGTATGGGTGGTGCCCTCCGCCCCGGGCCCAGGTGATGCCCCCTCCCCACCTGGGCAAGGAGGGAGGGGACCTAGGACACAAACACAACCCAACAGTGTGGCCACATGGACCCCATCAGAGTCCAGGGACAGGAATTACCCAGATCTGGTACTATGGGGGCTCCTAGATTGGGGTGGGAGTGGGGACGGGCAGAGCCAGATTATGGGCCTAAGCTAGGGTGGAGGAGAAACCAGAGCTGGGGGAAGGGGTCCCTAAAGTAGAGATGGGGGGGCAAAGCAGGGAAGGCGTCCTGGAAGGGGTAGTGTTTGCAGAAGGTTCCGAGGAATCAATCCATGGGTAGTGAAGGGACAGATTCCCCAGAGATACTCTGGGTGCCTGTTGGAAAAAGACTGAAAATCAAATTGGCCCAGAAGTTGGAACTGAGGAACAAGGACACAGAGACATATGGGCAGTAGGGTCCTCCCCAGGCTGAGCTCCCAAGAGTGCAGTGGGCTTGTACCACACAAACACACATGCGCCATGTGCATGCTTGTGAACTCTGAGCCAGCCTATAAATGCAAGTTTCACACATGTCCCAGACTCCAATCATGCTTACAGAGGGCACATCACCACTATACTCATCATCAGCCATGATCACATTCACATGCCACAGTGTGGAGATCCAGGGGTACAGCTGAATTCCTCGGACCCACTGAAGACCCACTTGTACACCAGGAGTAGCGGTGTACACCTGCTTGCCCAGAACTCTGGCAGGCTGAGGCAGGACGGTCAAAAGCTCACACCCAAAGCCAGGCATGGTGGTGCACACCTGTAATCCCAACACTTGGGAGGAGGATCGTTGTGATGTCAAAACGAGCCTGGGCTACAAAGTGAGCTCAAAGCCAGCCTGAACTGCATAGCAAGACCCTGTGTCTCAAAAAGATAGATAGGGGCCGTGGAGATGGCTCAGTGGAGTAAGTGCTTCCCTGGCAAGCGCAAGGGTCTGAGTTCAATCCCCGGTTCTGGAAAAAAAAAAAAGGTAAAGGTCATGCACACAGCCTGGGTAACTTAGTGAGACTCTGTCACAAACTAAAAAAAAAGGACTGGGAATGTAGCTCAGAACAAAGACCCTGGGTTCAATCTGCAGTACCACAAACACCAGCGTGACTTTATGGGGATAGGGTACCAGGAATCAAACTCAGGACTTCAGGCTTGCCAGGCAGGTGCTGCACCACTGAGCTAAATCCCCTGCCCACAAGAAGCATGTGTATAGAGGCATTCTGTGTACAATATTTTTTGCTTTGTTTTGAGGCAGGTCTCACTGGAACTCACTAGGTAGCCCAGGCTGGCCTCATACTTGAGCTGATCCTTCTGCCTCCACCTCCCGAGTAGCTAGGGTTACAGGCTTCCTCACCATGTATTTAATCCAGATCCACCCAGTGTGCCTGTCTACACTACACAAAGCACTGATTCCTAAATGGGGAAATTCCCTGTACAACACAGCCCTGACAGTGACCTCCTTTCCTCACCAGGTCCTGCTGCCTCTGCAGATGGCCCCAAGCCACTACCACCTGTGTCCAACCAGGACAAGCCCCCGCTTCCTCCTCTGCCCCCACCACTGAGCCAAGAAGAAAACTATGTGATCCCGATTGGGGATGCCCCAACTGTTGACTATGAGAACCAAGACGGTGGGTAGGAGACAGGGCTACGGCACTGCAGGATGGGTGTGGCTGGCTACCAACCTGATGGGACACATCTTTGTCCATGCAGTGATTCCCCCCAGTCGGCCTATTGTCCTGAAGACCAAAAGGGTGGCCAAGGTCCCAGCCAAGCCTCCGAAGCCACCCATTGCGCCCAGGCCAGGTAGGACCCTCTCCCAGCCCTCCTGTCAACGGCCCCTCGGCTTGCTCTCATCTGCCTTCCTTTCCAGAGCCCAAAGGCAACGGTAGTGTCCTGACCAGGAAGCCACCAGACGGCAAGTCCCAAGACTTCCTCACAACAAGTAAGTGGTGTGCAAGGTAGACACAGGTGCACATCTGAGAGCGAGGCCCATGGGGTCATCCAGGGTCCCCTGCTCCCACGGACCCTCCAGGAAACTTGCAATGCCTCTGCCTGCACACAGTTTCATCTTGCATGAGTCCCAGGTGTATCTGGGGGTGGGGCACAGACAGGAACGTGACCCAGCTGGAGGGTACACTGCTCCTTACCCCCCAGGGATGGGGAACGTGACAGCGGAGCTGGAGGAGAAGCTGCTGAGGCGGCGGGCGCTGGAGCAGTGAGCGGACACCCAGGGAACCAGCAAGCGAGTCTCACCACTGGGATCTGTCTGGGATTAAAGTTCAAATCACCTCCAGGCTCACATTTACTTGGTTTGGGGAATTCGGGGGTGGGGAAGGTCCACTGGATGTGCCCACTGCAGGCTCCACCTAGTGCCAGGGAGCTCAAAGGCTGCCGCTGGATGCTACAAGAAAAGCCTATTTGAGAGCTGGAAAGGCTGAGGTTCCCGTGGCCACAGGGAGACCCCCACCATGCAAAGAATCAGTGCTGTAGCCTAGCCAGTGTTTGACCTTTATTAGGAAGTGAGGTACGGGGGGGCACCCCGCTCCCTGGTGGTGCCCCCCTACTCATTCACAAGTTAAGGCTCCAAGCAGCAAGAGAGAGGCCAGTGCCCACAACCCCAAACACGCCTTGCTGGCTGGGTGGCCCGATGGTCTAGCTGAGGCTGGTATTGGAGCTGCTGGTAGCACTTCCCCGCTTCTGCAGGCAGCGCACGGAGCTGGGGACCTGCAGGCCTGTCGTCACGTGGAAGCTGCCACACCAGACCTGGGGAGAAGGGGGGGGCTCAGCCTGAGCCGCAGCACCCAGGACCCCCTCCTGTCCCTGGGCCCTGCCGGCTCACCGTGAAGGCCGGCAGCAGCGGCTGAGTGAACTTCGCCTTGAACGTGTGCAGCAGCTGTTTGGTGCGGGCGTTGTAGAAGGACAGGAGGCCTGGGGTTGGAGGCAGAGTGTGGAGGACACAGTCAGGGGTCGGACACGCTCAGGGACTCGGGCACTGGCAGGGGGTGAGGAGGGCGGGGCTGGCTGAGCCGCGCGCGTCATCACCTTGGTGGAAGTCGCAGTGCACACCCAAGCAGTCGGGCACGGGGGCGTCCAGCACCTTGACCTTGTTCGCGTGCTTGGCTGTGAAGCTGACTTGCAGCCAGTTGTTCACGTGCAGGCACCAGGAGGCAGCCGTCTTGCCCAGCTGCTCGAAGCGGCCCAGGCTGCGGTAGGCCACGCCCACGCCGAAGGCCTTGCTGTCCGGCTCGTAGCGCACCTCCCAATAGTGGTCCCCGCCATCGATCAGCGTGTCCCCTGGGGGGGGGGGGGCGAAGGGGGAGATGTTCTTCAGCCAGGCACTCCCGACGCCACAGCCACATCAGGCAGAAGCTCCACGAGGGCCCAGCTGCCCCTGCACCTATTCTGCCAGGTATTTTCCCAGGTACTCCTCAGCATCCTACCTGCTCCTGCAGATATTCCTCAGCACCCCAGCTCTTCCCTCAGGTATTTGCTGAAGCCCAGCTACTTTCTGCGGTTACTGCTGGGCTGCAGCTCCTGCCTCCAGCTACTCCTTTGACTCTAGCTGCTCCACCTGCATATTCCTCAGGCTCTAGCTTCTCTCTAGTGCTCCTGGGACTCCAGGCATCCCCCAGGGATCCCAAATGCTCCCTCCAGGTACTTTCTGGGCTCTAATTGCTCCCTTCAGGTATGTCTCGGGCCCCAGCTACTCCCCAGGCTTTAATCAACTCACTCTAGCTACTAAGCCCAGATCCTCTCTAAACCTCAGTTCCTCCCAACTCTCTGAGCCAAGCTACTCCGTGGAAGTACTTCCAAGGTTCAGAGCTCCTCCCCGGGCGCCTCTCAGTTTTCTTTCTCTTTCTCTCTCTCTCCCTCCCTCCCTCTCTCTTTCTTCGGTATCGGGAATTGAACTCAGGACTCTGTGTTTGCCAGCTACTGAGCTATCTCCCCGGCCCGCCTCTCAGTTGTTTCCAGACGTTAGATTTTCCCAAGTGCTTGTTCCCCCGGAACGCATCTCGCCAAGACTTCAGATTCTTCCTCAAGTCTAATACTCCCTCTAACTCAGCTGTGGTAGAACCCAGCAATTCCCTGCTGCTGTTTGTCTTCTGAATCCAGATCCATCTAGCCCCCAACTGCTGGTGGAGGCCAGATTCTTCAATGTCTCAGTTGCGGGGGCTTCCAGGAGCCGGTGACCCCCCAGGCTTCCGCTCCTCCTGAAGTCCAGACACTGCACCAGCCTCACTCGCCCCTTCAGGTCCCCTCGGGTTGTGCTGCTCCCCTGCGGGTTCAGCGCTGAGCCCACAGCCCATCTCTCCCATTGTGACCCTCCATGTGTCACTTGTTCCCCCCAGGAGCTTCTGTAGCTGGGCCTTGACTCTGCTGCGCTCCACCTCACGATCGCAGCGCAGCTCCACAGGCCTCCCGCAGGCACAGGGCACCCAGGCTCATTCCTCCTTTCAGGAAACAGCTTCTGTCCCTGGCCCCTGATTTTCAGCACTCTATTCCTGTACCTCGGGATCTCCCTCTTTTTTTTTGATACTGGAAATCAGACTCGGACCTTGCACCGGACAGGCAGGCTCTTGTACTGCTTTTTTTTTTTTTTTTTTTCAGAACCGGGGATTGAACTCAGGTCCTTGTGCTTGCCAGGGAATCACTTATTCCACTGAGCCATCTTCCCGGCCCCATACTGCTCTTTTTGAAGGCACCAAGGATTGAACGCAGGACCCTGTGCTTGCCAGATAGTCACGTACTCTATTGAGCTATCTCCCCGGCCCTCTTGTACTGCTGCGCTATATCCTTTCAGTGTTTTTTTCCCTCATCTTTTAATTTTTTTTTTAATTTTAACATTTATTGTATGTGTGTGTGTGTGTATGTGTGTGGCCAGCTCAGCCCACCTGGGGGCGCGGCTGGCTGGCATGTGGTGCTGGAGGATTGAACCGTGGTCCCTGTGCTTTGCCAGGCTTGTTCCAAGTAGGTGCTTTAGACCACTGAGCCATCTCTCCAGCCCCTCATCTTTTTAAATTATTATTATTATTATTATTTTTTGAGACAAGATCTTGCCATATAGTTCAGGCTGTCCTTGACCTCACTATGTAGCTCGAGCTGGCTTCTAACTTGTGACTATCCTGCCTCAGCCTCCCAAGTGCTGAGACTGCACGTATGCCCCCCCCAGCCCCCACCTCCTCTTTAAACCCAACTCTCCCCAGTCCCAGATGTTCCTCAGAAAATCCAAACGGTCCATACAACCACAACATCCTCCCAGGGCCTGGCTTGTCCTCGCAACCCTCTCCTTCCTGCTTCCTTCGCCACTGCCATTACCGATCACACCAACTTCCTCAGGCCTCGGTCCGGCTTAGCTCTTTTCTGGACACTGGCAGTTCCACACTCCCATTTGTCCACGGGCTCAAGCTTCTCCTTCCCAGGACCTGACGGCTCCCAGGGTGTTACCTTCTGCTCCCACCCTACCACTCTCAGCTTCTCCTCTCTCTGGCTTCTCCACCACGCTAAGCTGCTCCCCCGAACTTGTGTAAATTTTTTTTTTTTTTTTTTTTTTTTTGGTAGTGGTACTGGGGATTGAGCCTAGGGGCTTTGCACTGAGCTATCTCAAGCCTTTTTAAACAATCTGCAGACAGGGTCTTGCTAAGTCATCACTCTGTCACCCAGGCCGGGCTCAAACCGGTGACCCTTCTGCCTTATCCTCCCAGAGTGCTGGGATTGCTGGTGAGCACACACACGCCTTGCTGTAAACTCCTGTCCTGCCCAGCTGCTCCACAGCCCCAGCTGCTCGCAGGCAAATACTCCTTCCAGCTACTCCCCAAACCTCAGCTTCTCCAGAGAGGAGGACTCTGCTGACCAACAGCTCCTCAGCCTCATGCCCGAGCGCTGGCTCCCCAACTGGTGACTGGTCCCCAAATACTCCTGTCCTCCCAGGGTGGGAGCAACCTGTCTTGTGGTCCCAAGCCCACAGAAGCTTGGCGAGGGCTGCCTGTCTCCCCAGCCACAGCAGCTGTCCCCACCCCTCCCCTCAGAGGCCTGCCCAGAACTCTTTTCCCCCTTCTCTCTCCATCCTTACCCAGTACTGTGTAGGACTCAGCTGTGAACCGGTCCCGTCCCCCACGACCTGAAGGGATCCTCTTGGGAGATGGAGTACCTCTGTGAGTGGCAGGGAGAGGAAGACAGTTCAGGCCTCGCTGCCACATAACAGTACCTCCTTGGTCTATCCCAACCACTGCTTCTGTTTGGTTAATATATGTTTAGAGAATATATATTTAGGCCTTTCTGCACACCATGCCCTTCCCAGTCAGGTCTGGGAAATTCTTATTCCACCCTCAAAACCCAGCCCAAAATGTCCTTTTCCCTGACTGACTCAGAGTTCCTCCAACCAGGTTCCTCCCTCAACTCCAGGGGCAGGTTACCTGGCTGGGGAGTTGACAGGAGACGCTGTCCGCCCCTTGCCATCTTTCTCTCGAGCCTTGATGTCCTGCACCTTCCCGCCCATAGCGTCCCATTCCACAGCAAGGTCGTCCACCCGCAGGTTCTGGTGAGATGTGGATGCATCCAGGCGGAACATGAACGCTGGGGCCGGGCAGACGAGGGAGGTACAGAGATGGGAAAACCCGGAAAGACACAGAGAGGCAGAGACAGGCAGGCCGTGACCAAGACAGGGACCAAGAACAAGAGAGACAAGAAGCCAGACACAGAGACAGGTGGCAGCAGATGGGGGGCGGGGCTAAAGAAAGACAGGCAGGAAGACCCTGAGAGAGACAGATCAGGAAGGGTGGGACAAACAGGGATCCGGAGAAGCAGTCGGTGACAGGTTGGTATCCTGCAGCTGAGCACAGGGAAGGGGCAGGGCCCTGGCAGGCAGCAGCAAGGCTAGGCAGCACAGGGACTTGCCGGCGGGGCTTCACGGGTGTCGGCGCGAGGGGCTGCAGTCTGTCTTCCCTACTGATACTTCTCAGCTCTAAAAGGACTTAGCTATTTGGTGGGGGGGAGGGCAGGGGAGAAAGAAAGTGTGTGCATGCGTGTGTCTAAAAACCATATGGAGGGGCTGGGGAGATGGTTCAGTGGTCTAAAGCACCTACTTGGAACAAGCTTGGCAAAACACAGGGACCGCGGTTCAATCCCCCAGCACCACATGCCAGCCAGCCCCGCCCCCTGGTGGGCTGAGCTGGCCACACACACACACACAATAAATAAATAAAATAAAAATTTAAAAAAAAACAAAAAAACCATATGGAGGGGCTGGGGATAGAGCTCAGCAGCACAAGCACCTGCCTGGCAAACTCAAGGTCATGAGTTCAATCCCCCATACCAAAACAAAGAATAGCTCAACATCCAGAAACTTACTGGTGGCTGGTAAGATGGCTCAGTGGTCTAAAGCACCCATTTAGAGCAAGCTAAGCTTAAGCAAAACACAGGGACCACGGTTCAATCCCCCAGCACCACATGCCAGCCAGCCCCGCCCCCTGGTGGGTTGAGCTGGCCACACACACAAAATAAATAAATAAATAAATTTTAAAAAAAATTTAAAAAAAAAGAAACTTACTGGTGTATTTCAATACATAAACATAAAAACCATATAGATGTTGAGAGTGCAGTGCACACCTGCATTCCCAGCACTCAGCAGGCTGAGGCAGGAGGATCACTGTGAGTTTGAAAGCAGTCTGGACTACATAGTGAGTTCAAGCCTAGCCTGGACTACATGAGCAAGCTCTTATTCCAAAAAGAACAAAAAAGGGGCTGGAGAGATGGCTCAGTGGTCTAAAGCACCTACTTGAAACAAGCTTGGCAAAGCACAGGGACCGTGGTTCGATCCCCAGCACCACATGCCAGCCAGCCCCGCCCCCTGGTGGGCTGAGCTGGCCACATACACACACAATAAATTAATGTAATAAATAAAAATAAATAAATATTAAAAAAAAAAGAACAAAAAAAGTACAGGTATGGGGCTGGCGAGATGGCTCAGTGGAATAAGTGCTTCCCTGGCAAGGGCAAGGGCCTGAGTTCAATACCTGGTTCCGGGGGGAAAAAAAAAAAGAGCACAGGTACAATGGGATCACTCTGGGGCACAAAAGACAAAAGCATGTTTGTCACAGACATATTAAGGAAGCCACCATGGATACAGCTTGGAGCTTCCCGGCAGCCAGGGCAACAAGGGCCACAGAACACTGAATGAAAGATGCGCATGTCACATTGGAACCCAGGGCACCAAGAGGGAGGGGATTGGAGCTGGGGATCTGGCTCAGGCACAAGCACAGGGTCCTGAGTTGCATTCCCCATACAAAAAAAAAAAAAAAAAAAAAAAAAGAAAGAAAGAAAAAAAAAGAAAAAAAAAAGGAGGGGATAGAAGTTAGTCACCTGGTGTCTCCAGGGTCACCGACTCTGAGAACTCGCCTGCAACTGCCTTGTTACAAGCCTTAACGCGGAAGTTCATGTACTTCATGTCGAATTTGAGACCTGGGAGAGAAGAGAGAGTTGGCAGTGCTGTGTAGTCTCTGTGACTTTGAGCGCGGGTTAGAGTGTAGCACATTGCACAGTGGATCTCATGCCCTCATTCTTAGGAGCACCTGCTATATAACATCTTATTGCTGGGTAATGAATGGGCTCTGCTCTTATGCACCTGCGGGGGTTTATGCATCGTTTGACTCCACCCCCATCCCAGAGCAGCCAATCAGGATGCTCTATGAATCTGTCTCAGTGGTTGGTTCAGAGACAGGCACATGACCCACGCTGGCCAATGAGAACTAACCCTGAGACTGCAGTACTATATCAAACAGAGTAGCTGTTCTTCCAGGCTAGGTCCAAGCTCTTCTGGAGATTTTTTTTTTTTTTCTTTTTTTTTTTGAGACAGAGTCTCACTTAGTAGTCCAGGCTGGCCTGAACTCACTATGTAGTCTATGTTGGCCTCAAACTCAGCGATCCTCTGCCTCAGACTTCTGAGTGCTGGGATTACAGGTGTGCACCCTCACACTGGCCTTTCCTAGGAGAATCTGCTGGCAGACCTGGGAAGCATCTTTAAAAATACATCTCCTAGGCGGGGGAGATGGCTCAGTGGAATAAGCGCTTCCCTGGCAAGCACAAAGGCCTGAGTTCAATCCCTGCTTCCGCCAAAAAAAAAAAAAAAAAAGAAAAAAAAAAAAAAATACATCTCCTAGGGAGCCTGCCCCTTAGCTCAGTTCTTTACGTGGCTGCTTCAACAAAGCAGTCAGGCTCAGGTTGCTGTGGTTCGATCCCCACAACTGAAGCCAGCCAAACATGCCCTGAAGGCATTCTGAGCCAGCAAAAAAAAAACCCAAAACAAAACAAAACAAAACACAAAACAACTCCCAGGGTCATTTGCAGGGATCAGGGTGACTGAGTCACTTGGGGGAACACACAGGGTCAAACAGTCTCTACTGCAAGTAACCTACCCTTCTTTCTAGCCATTCATAAATATCATGTTTAAGGTCTATATATTATTTTCAGTACTAGGGACTGAACCCACACTACAGCCTCTACACTGAGCTATCCTCACCCTGTTCATGATCACCATTATCATTATTTATTACTATTATTTTAAGACTGGGTCATTTCGGGTCACTAAGTTTGTGATCTTTCTGCCCTGGTCTCCTAGAGTGTTGGGATTATGGCCCTGTGCCACAAACCTGTATGCTAAGCATATGCTCCACCCCTTTCTGAGCCCAGTTCTCCAGCTAATGCCCTCGGCCCCGGCGCACTCAGCCCCTTCGGCTGCCTCCCTCCCTCCCCTTCCTCAGCCCCACTGCAGCAGATCCTATGCTGCCCACAGCTTCCCTTCCTGCACACCTCGCGTTGGGCCGGCCACACTGTTCTCGCCTAACTCAAGCTGCTTTCCCCCACAGCTCATTTCTTAGGCTCCTCCCCCTTCTGCGAGCCTTCCACATCCGGTGCCCAGGCCCGAGTCCCTATTCACCCCTCACTGTGCATGGTCCCTTCCACCCACGGCAGTCACACACCACCACGTCGCTGGGCCTCTGGCGTGCGGCTGGCTGCCTCAGGACTGCCAGCTCCCTACACACCCACGCTGCAGGCAATTGAATCAGGAACCTGCTGCCTGCTCCACAGCTCCCTTTACCCTCACAGCAAAACCAATTCATTTTCTTTCCACTGCAAACTTAGCTAGCCCCAGACAGAGGCCTGCTGCTGCAGCCTCTGCGTTCACAAGACCCTGTTCCCTCCGCCTGCCCAACCCTGGCTGCTGCCACAGACAGCTGCACCATGGTCTCCAGCTTCCTCTCCTTTGAGTTCAAAGGGTGTTCAGCAAACAATACCCTGGCATTAGGCCAAGACGTCCACCCCCAAAGAAAGAGAGCTCTATAGTTATCAGGTGCCTCAGTTTCTCTGGCTGCAAACGGGCAATCACTAGCCCCGCTGGGAGCAGGCAACACCCTCGGGCTTTTCATTTTGTGAGACAGGGTCTCAATGAGTTGCCCAGGCTGGCCTCAAAACTGCAATCCTGGGGCTGGGGAGATGGCTCAGTAGAATGAGTGCTTCCCGGGCAAGCACAAGGGCCTGAGTTCAATCCCCAAGTAGCTGCGACTACAGGCGTGCAGCCCCATGCCCAGACTCAAAGCACTTTTTGCTTACAACTGCCCGTGTATCTATAATTATCTCCAAACAAAAAGTCACAACAAAACAAAACAAAAGGCGGGAGGTCTTGGAGATGATATGGTGCAATCCTACATAAAAAATAAATAAATAAATAAAAAGAGGCGTGTATTTATTTTGGTTCCCACGCAAAAGAGGGAAAAAAACAGATCTCAGACTCCTGGCTGGCGGGCTGGTGATTTTTCCCCCCTACAATTAGCATGCTCATTATTAACCATGTATGCTAATTACAGATAACTAGGGCTGATTATAGTCTAACCGTGAGGCCATGAATGTGGTACTTATCCTGTCTGGAAGACTCTCCCGCCTCCAGGGCTCCCCATAGCTCAGGATGGCCTTTGAAATTCACCAAGGACCCCCAACTTTCCTCCCTCTCTTCAGATCCACCCTCAGCAGCCGTTGGGATTCCCTGTACTTTTTATTTCATTTTATTTCTAGGGGAACAAGATCTTTGGAACTCACTATGTAGCCCAGGCTGATCTTGAACTCAAGGAAATCCTCCCACCTCAGCCTGGGAAACGCTGGGACTGCAGAGTGCGGGCAAAACCACATCCGGTGCTTTTTCATTTCTTATAAGAGCCAAGGAAATCCCCCAACACCCGGGGGTGTCCCAGGATGCCAACCCTACGGGCAAGAGTTTTCGCTGCTTTCCTCGAGGTTCAAGGACAGCACTGGATCTACTGCAGGTGCAGGGTAATTTAAAAGCAATGAATGGTGGTTTCACTTCCTGTAACTCACGTTCCTCATTTGTCAAATAGTGATGATACACTGAGTAGTGGCGCACACCTATCATCCCACTGCCGGAGCCCAGCCCAGCCAACTCCACTATTTAGCGAGGCTCGAGGCTCAGAGTAAGACCCATGAGCAGCAAGCCTCAGATGGCTACTGGGGCAAGGGTAGCTTCAGGGGTGCACTGTGCTGGCGCCCCCAGCCAGACAGGCTCCTGACCTGTCAAGGTGTACTCCGTGTGCCGGATGCCCTCGACCACCATCCAGGGCTGGTCCTCCTTGAGGCGCGGGGGGCCCTCAAAGTTGGTCCTCCGGTACTCTAGCACGTAGTGGTCGATCTTGCTGTCCTCATCCGGCATGCGCCACACCAGGGTCACACAGTTATCTGCCACCAGGGACTCTGCTAGGTCGATCACGGGGGTGCTGGGCACTGCCCAGGAAAGAAGGGACACAAGTCAGGGCTCGGGGTCCTAGGTGGGAGGGGCTTGCTGGAGCCCGCCCACCACGTGCCGGCCTGTGGGCGCGGCCGAGGGTTCCGCACTCCCAAGCTCCAGTGGGCTGTTGGGACTTGAGGCTGGAGACTCCACAGGAGTCCAAAAAGCAGTGGAGTTTTCAGCAGAGCTTTGGGGGGTATTCAATCAATAAAGGACAAGACCATCTCAAGATGCCACTATTGAGAGGGTGGATTTTGCCAGAACTCTCTACCAACTGGCTGAGTCTTCTACTCTTTTTCCTCTTCTCCCTTCCTCCCTCCTTTTCCGGTACTAAGATGGAACCCAGGGCTTTCACACTAAACTACAACCCTGACCCTTACTATTTTCTATTTCATTTTTGTGTTTTTGAGACAGCGTCTCGATATGCTGCTCAGGCTGGCCTTGAGCACACTCTGTAGTCCAGGCTGGTCTCGAACTCCCAAGGATCCTCTCAGCCTCCCGAGTGCTGAGTGCTGGGATTCTAGGCGTGTGCCACGATACCTGGCATTCTATTTTTTATTTTAAGACAGGGTCTACATAAATCATTCTCTAGGCTGAGCTCAAACTTGTGCTCCTTCTGGGCTAGTGAGATGGCTCAGTGGTCTAAAGCACCTACTTAGAACAAGCTTAGCAAAGCACAGGGACTGCAGTTCAATCCCCCAGCACCACATGCCAGCCCGCCCTGCCCCCTGGTGGGCTGAGCCAGCCACACACACACACATAAATAATAATAAATAAAATTTAAAAAAAACAAAAACAAACAAACTTGTGCTCCTTCTGCCTCAGCCTCCCACAGTGCTGGACTCTCAAGCCTGCCTGAGGGAAGGCTTTCTTTGGGACTACATCAACAGGAGGACCATCTCAGCCCAAAGGGTTGTGGCTTTCTCTGGGTGTTTTCCCTGGGGGAGGGGGTTCTCCTGGCTTGGAGGGTACTCCATCCTACATTGAAGTGTTGAATCTCAGGGACCAAAGTAAGAGGGGCCTCCAGGGTTCCATCTGCACTTAAGGGAACACTTCCAGGTCTCCACCCCTACCAGGCAGGCAATAACTCAGGGTTCCACCTTGTGGGGCAGTCTCAGGGCTCCACCCCTGGGGCAGTCTTCCCCGATTTAGGCTTTGGCTGGTCACGTGACCCAGTCTCCCTGCTGCAGGGCCATTTCCCTGAGATTGTGGCCCTCCAGCAGGTTCCCCTCTCACCAGGGAGAAACGTGAGGGCCTGCAGCATCTGACGCTCTTGCGCAAAGTCCACCATGAGGTGACTCATGTTGTCGCTGACCTTCGCTTTCAGTGACAGCCGGAAGGCGGGAGCCATTGTCACACTGCAGAGAAGGAGGTGGAAGCAGCCTGCTGACATTGTCTCAGGATAGGGGTCCTAGGCCTGGTCATCTGAGGCGAGTGTCCCTGTATTCCCGTCCAGCGCTCCAGGCCCAGGTCCCCACTGTCACTGCGGGCAGGGCACCAGAGTGGGCCTGGGCCCAGCATCTTACCCATCTTTGATTTGCTTGGCAGCCTAGAAGGAGGGACAGAGTGAAATCAGAAACCGGGGTTCGGCCCTGTGACAGTGCTGCCCGCCACACGCTGAGGTAGAAACTCCTCCTTCCATCTGTGCCTAAAGCTAAGACACAAGCCCTACCCTCACCCCAGCTTCCAGTCAGTGCCCAGGATGAGCAGTTGGCACACTGTGCAAACAAAAATACAGGTGAGGCCCAGGGAGACAGCTCAGTGGCACAAGCGCCTGCCTCGCATGCACATGGTCCCAAGTTCAATCCGTGGTACAGCAAAAATAAATAAATTAAATTAAATAAATACAGGCAACCCAGCTTCACTGATGTTTTAGACAAATAATAAAGGGCCGGAGAGATGGCTCAGTGGAATAGGGGCCTGCCTGGCAAGCGCAAGGGCCTGAGTTCAATCCCCTGTTCCA